TTAAGCACTGTCTGACCAATAACAATGTGCAGTGTTTCTGAATTGCACTGAACACATGAAACATTGTTATACAGTAACCAGTATCACATTACTGTGTATATTCTGTGTCCTCATTTCAAGATGAAATCGAATTAATATTGATTTTCACTTATTGATCTACTGTGATGATGATGATGATGATGATGATATTTTATGGAAATAAGGTAATCATGTGAAATGGATGTGAACTCAATTATTCTTTTAATGTGAAACATTATGTTTCAAGATAATTTTCACTAGAACACAGATCACTAACTGTAACTACTGAAAATAATCAATCGGTTTTGATTTTAATCTCTCGCGAGTACTTTACAAACTCATACATGATAAGATAAAATTCATTCAAGCATTCCTCTTACAACTTCATTAGAAAATCTAACATATCGAATTCATAAATTAAAATTTGCACACCTCCATTTGATTACTAATACAACATACTTACATGTAATGAATACTAACTACATGAAGCATATTCACACAACTTAATTTATTCAACATTGTTGATTCAATGATTGTTGAATTCGATGATGAAGTGTCAATGTTTGTTCAAAGTATAAATATCTTGTGAAATTTACTCAGTTTAAAAAATAATCAGATGTATACATTCATGAAAAATAAGCAAACAATTTCTTTGTTTTTAATTGGTTTTTGGTGAATATCACCAATTTACTCGTTGCAAATGAACTATTCCATTTGTTTAAGTTCTTCTATTTTTACTGTACACTGTTACGCCTGTACGTAAACACATCATTTTGATGTGGTTGAAGTATTACGAGTTTACATAGTTGGAAACGAGAGTGAGGATCGAGGATCCGGCGACACGACATGCTACTCTAATCCGATTATCCTAACTCCCATTTTGAGTAAAAATAAGAAAGAGCTGATATCAAGTAGAACCTGTATTCTACAAGCATTCAGAAAGTAAGAGATACGAATCCGGAAGGGAATCAGGGTTCTGGACTACGGATCCGGACATGGTCCTAGTCCTGGTCATAAAACGTTACACATAATGCGTATTTATACATTCTGGTCGAATAGGAAACAGCATCGAATTCTGTGATATTGAAAGTTAAGACGATCAATAGAAAGCAACATTTTGAAGTGACATTGATAGTTAGGACAACCAATAAGAAACAGCATTGGAGTACGTGACATTGATATCTATGACGACCATAAAATTGACCAGTAGAA